AGGCACTAAACAGACAACTGGCATCAAAACATTTATAGGATTTCTCTGACAGGAGGAGAAATTGCCCTTTCTTAATATGTCTTATTTGAAAATGAAAATAGCACAGGCTTTTCACAGAGACAGAAAACCCAGCTTGGATTGGCCCTGGGCTGGCAGAGCTCCCTTGACTATGCCATGGTGGTTTGGGCTCAATAGAGCATCTGGATCTTCCCTCTCTAGCTTCTCCACAGTGGTATTTTGTGCATGTATGAAATGAAGGAGTCATGGAGAGGGGAGGAAGATGGCCAAAAATTTATCTCATGGCTTCTCACGCTGGAAACCCAGACCTAACTTTAAAGCTTCCAGGGACAGGGCAGGGCTGTGACTCCACGGTAGAGTGTGTGCCTTGCACACTTGTGGCCCTGGGTTCAACCCCAGCACCAAAACTAACACTTGCAGCTGCTGTCCAGTCTCTCTCTACAAAGATAACTAAGTCAAATTCAAACATTTTAGATTGTTTCCCACAGAAAACAGGGGTTTTAAGAATTTTAACAGGCAGACCCTCTGAGGCTTCTGAAAGTAGCCAAGCAGTTGGACTCATTCCCTCCTCTCACCATCAAGGTCTTATCCTCAAAGACCTTAGAACAAAACTCAGCCAGCCCCCCCTATCCAGGGCTTCTAAATCAGGGAATACAACTGACCTCAGAGTGTACTGAGACCTAGAATGGTTGTGTCGGCACTGACCACGGACAGACTTCTCTTCTTGTTCTTATTCCTAGGAAATGCAGTATAACAACTACTTCCATAGCATTTACATTGTATTAGTTATTGTCCATCATCCAGAGAGGATTTAAGGTATACAGGAGGGCTACATCGGTTCTATGCAAAGGCAACATTATTTTATATAAAGGACTTGAGCATCCAAGGGGTTGGTGTCTGTGGGGGGCCTAGAACCAATCCCCCCAGATTCTGAGGGATCACTATACCCAATGCTGAAACTGCCTAAAACCCCACTCCCTGAAAGAGAACTTGTTCTAGGGCCCAGTGCATCACAGTGAATGTCCATCACCAGTACCAGACCCTGAACTCTAAATGCAAGCTTTCACCTGACCATGGAGTCTCAGGTAGTCCACCCACGTGAGTCAGTTCATGAGTACAGGGTGGAACAGCCCTCAGGACAGTGCCTTTCATGGGGCATGGGCCTCCAGCCACTGCCTGCAAAGGACATGGGACCCAGAGACAGCTGCCTTCTATGACTTCTTGGTGGAATTTATAATATTCATTTTGGTGTCAAAAAACTTTTTCCTTAAAAGCTCTCTTTGGGTGAAAAAGGGCATGCATTTAGAAAACAGCCATTACTACTGAAATGACTACTGCTAAAAGTTCAGGCAGCCAAAGCAAAAACAGATTGGACTTTGTCAAAATCATAAACTGTTTGTGCTTCAAGGGGCAACAAGAAGGGGAAAAAACACAACCCACAGAAGAGACAGAAGTAAAATCACTCTGATATGGGACTCATATCCAGAATATATAAAGAACAATTACAACTCAATAAGTAAAAGGTAAGGGACAAGGACATGAATAGACATTTCTCCAAGGATGTAAAAAGGCCAACAAACATGAAAAGCTGCTGAACATCATTAGTGATCAGGGATACGTGGATCAAAACCCCAATGAGAGGCCACTTTACACCCACAAGAAAGGTGGCTATGTCAAAAAGACAGAAACAATGTTGGCTAGGATGGGGAGAAACTGGATCCTTCATAAATGGCTGGTGGGAAAGTAAAAAAGGTGACAGTTTGTAAACTATTTGGCAGTTCCTCAAAATGCCAAACTTCAAGTTTTCATACAACCCATAAATTCACTCCTATGTGATACCCAAGAGAAATAAAAATATATATTCACAAAAAGTGCATAATGTTCATGCAACGTTACTAATGATTTTCTCAATTTGTCATTCTAGCCAAAGCAATACTCAATCTAAAATTCCATCCACTGGTGAATAGATAACAAAACACCCTACAACATATCCATATAATGGAATATTATTGATTGGCAAAAAGCAATGATGCATAGATACACACTAAGATGTGAATGAAGCTTAGGAAGGTAATGCTAAGCGAAGAAAGCAAAGGACCACACAGTGACATGTGGAGATTCCACTCCCATGATGTGTCTAGAATAGGCCAATCTTTAGGGAGAAAATACAGATCACAGCTGCCTGGGCTGAGGGGTGAGTGAAAGAGGGGAGACTATTAATGGATAGTTTCTTTGGGGGGGGATTGTGGTGGTGGTAGAAGTCTGTAAATATATTAAAAATCACTGAATTGTGTACTTTAAATGAGTGACTTTTATGTTTGTAAATTATGTCCCAACAGAGCTGTTAAAAAATAATAGGCAAGACCACAGAGAAACTGAATAGTAAACAAAATTGATTTCATAAACCAACATACCACACACAAACATAAGCATATAGACATTCTGAGCAGAAGGGACTTGCACTGAGGCTCAGCACCGATATTGACTCTGCCACCTGGGGAGCAGAATTTCTTAACTCTGTGATCAATTTACATGTCTTTATATGAAGTCATCAACACATCAGGTTTTCTTCCCTGAGATGATTTTTTTATTGAACAATTACTTCATCAAATCCCTGAGATAATTTTATCCAAACATTTTCACGTAAAGAGAAAACACTAGCCATTCATTGCAAACAGCACAATGTTCACAGCACCCCCATCATTTTAAAGGGAACATTCCAGAATCACAGAGCACCATTCAGCTGCAGATGCCAGTCCATTTCTGTGGTCTAGCCCTCTTTGCAGAGAACCCAGATGCAAAGAATGAGGGTGTGGGGCCTCATGACTTCTCCGTCTAGAATTCTAAACTCTACTTCTATTCAATTGGACCCTTCCCTCTATGTAATTGGTGTAAGAGAGATAAAACTCCAGTGGACACTCCAGAAGAAACCCCTCTGGAGAGAACAGTTTCCCAGGTCAGTAATTGTGCTTCACTTATATTCCCAGGGTCCAGCACAGAACTTATCCCTGAGAAAGCACACATTCGTTGTATGACAGGATGGATGAATGGATGGATGGATGGATGGATGGATGGATGGATGGATGGAAAGATGGACAGAAAGAGAGATGGATGGATGAATGAGTAGATAAATGGAGAAATAATTAGAAGGAAAGAGGGAATGGGGGTGGAGACTGGATGGGTGGAAGCTAAATGAATGGATAGATGGATGGAGAGATGAATCAATGGGGAGATATAAAGATTAGGTGATATATGGTTGGGGAGATGAGTAGAGAAAGGGAGGGAATGAGGGTAGCTAGATAGATAGATGGACATATAGACAGACAGATGAATGGACCGCTGGATTCTTGGATGAAAATATAAGTAACAGAGGACCCACCACATGTGTCCTTTGACCACTCAGAACCACAGGTGCACTTCTAGAACTGGGGACTACTGCTGGTCTCCTCACCACCCCAAGGTTTGAGGCTCCAGGAAAGGCTTTGATTACATCACTAAGAAGATAGAAGCCCATTGTACAGGGCTCTGCCCAGGAACTGTGCCAGCTGTGCTCTATGGGCACTAGGGACACAGTGGCAACCAGAAAGGCTAGGGTTGACCCTGATGGAGGCTCTTGGAGCAACAGTGGGATGTGATGAAAAAAAAAAAAAAAAAAGTTGCAGAAGCACCAGTTCATGGTTCTATCACTTGAGAAGGAAAGGAGAAGGAGGTCAGGAGGAACGCCTGAACTGAAACCAGATGTATGGGTAGGAATCAACTTGACTGACCTCGTGTGTGTGTGTGTGTGTGTGTGTGTGTGTGTGTGTGTGTGTGGAGAGAGAGAGAGAGAGAGAGAGAGAACACGCATGTCCAAGGCAGTGAGTGGCACGTGAGCAGACCCCAAAGAAGGAGAGCTGAGATCCACCATCCTAGGCAACCAGGACACAAAGGGCAAGGAGTACAACAAGCTGGGCCCATGACGACAGGCCCCTGGGTTCTCAAAGGCCACAATAAGCCACCAAGGGGTTGGGGGGGGGGGACCCTCAATGATGTGATCGGATCTGCCTTCACCTAGAAGTGGGCTGAATGTGGGCTGTCTGCCTCAGTGATGTGGCTCCCTGGCTGCTGAGCCACACAGCAAGCCCACTAATCCCCACAGAGAGCAGCAGTGGAGCTGCCGAGCTCTGGCCTGTGGGGCAGGGGCGTGGGCTGCGAGCACTGGCCAGAGTTGCCCAGAGCCCTTCTTCCAACTCAGGCCTGAGGTGCAGCAAGCCAGGGTGCACCAGCCTGTGGATCTCACAGTGGGTCTGCCTAACTGGGTGGACAGTCGCTCCACACAGTGCCAGCTCTGAACCACCTGAGCATCCACGATCCACTCCCTAGGATGTTGAGATTATACGCAATAGGTGAGAAAATGGAATCGGGGCAGATCTTAATGGAGTTCAGACTCATGGATTGGCCAATAGCATCAGTGCTTTTCCAAAACCTGATGAGCACAAATTTGGACCAATTGCCTTGAACCAAGTGCTCTATAAACCCCTAGATTAGCAGCAACCTCTCTTGGGTCCCCACTTGTCCTGCAGACGTTCTATCTCTATTCACACCTGAATAAATCCTACTCTTATATTCCCTCATCCTCATCTGTGGATTTCACTCTTCAGAATCAGGAGTCAAGAACCCAGAAAGAAGAAGGCAGTGGCGAGCGGCTGTGGTCTGCTGCGACACTGGAGGGGACAGCCACCATTAAGAGTTGGAACCTGTTTCTCAGCTGCAGAGGCCTGCAACTTATGCAGATCCCACCTGCCAGCCAAAGGGGGAAACCCCCAGTTTCACCAGGAAGGTCTGCCAGCTTTCCCTAGGAAACCTCATTGCACATCAGCAATGGCAGGGCCCAAAGGCAGAGAAATCTCTACCAGCAGCTCCCAGAGAGCAGGCTCTAGGGCCCAGAAGCCTCCTGGATCCTGAAAGGCAGGCAGCAGTGGGAAACATTCAGCTGGCTTTACCAGCCTGGGGCAGATGGTGGCTGGGCTCTGTGTCCCTGCATGGCCAGGCACAGGCCATCAAGCAGGCTCTGGAGCTATTTGAGAAGGGGGAAGTTAAGGTCACATATGGATCAGCCCATTACTTTTAGTGACTTTTACTATCACACTGGGAGCCACCCATATGTCAGAAAGGCCATCAGCCCAAATAGTGCCCAGTGGCTTCCCATCTAAGTTAGGTGATAGCGAACACCCACTTATAACCCACTAAAAGTCCTCCTATATATGGGCTGAGATAGGCATGAGGCCTTTGGTAGGTAAAATCCTGGCCAGGTCCTGCTCTCAGGGAGCTCTGAAGTCACCAAAGGCTCCCAGGAAAGGAACCTGTCCCCTTGGAAACCTCTGGTGTCCATGATCTCATGGTCCCAACAGAGCTGAACCTGAAGAGGATTTCTATAGTACAGAGGGGGGACAGCATGGCCCTTCCCTGAGCTCACTTCCACCAAGGGAGGGAGATCTTCACATGGTTCCAGTGCAGCCTTGCAAATTTACCCTGAGGTATAGAAATCATGTTAGTTTAACCAGTAATCTTCTGAAATCTTTTGGAACTGCCAACAATTGGGAAAAATTTTCCACAACTCTGTAGAGTGCTCCATGCTTAATGAAGCCCTTTCTCTGTCTCCAGGACTGGGCACACACTGGAAGCCTGAGGTAGGCAGGCCCTGTGGCCACTATTTCAAGAACAAGAGGCTAGGCAGAGCCACATGGCTCTTGGGCCTGGATCCTGGGGAGCAAGCCAAGCCTCTGGAGGAGTCAGGAGCTGGGCAGCATGTGTTTCTGCCACAGCTTCCCCACCAGCCCAGGGACCGCCACTGTCCTCTTAACTTCCTTCCCTTCCAGCTCAGCCCAGCTAGGCCTCGTGGGTAGTCCAACTTCCTTTTCATTCTCTGCACAATCTTGATCGTTCTTCATATTTTCCAGTTCTTCTCCACAAATCTGCTCCTGAAACCAGAAAGGAATTCATAAGCATTCCAATTAACCACCACAATGAGGTCATCCTGGACATTCAGGGTCTGTGGGTGTCCTGCCCTGGTCATCCTTGCAATTCATATTGAGGTTTAAAATGATAAGCCAAGTTCAAGCACCCCCAACCAGCCCCAGAGAAACCACATTTTATATACAAGAGTGTGTATTTACTAAACAGACTGAAGAACAGCCCAGCCCCAGGAGATTTGAGAAAGGGAGACAAAGAAGCCTTGCAATTGACCCTCCATGTCTGCTCCTCATCCACAGATTCAATTAACCATGAATTGACTATATACTTTATTTCTTGTCCTTATTCCCTAAACAATACAGAAGAATGGCTACTTGCACAGCAATTAGACTGTGTTAGGTACTAAAGGTCATCTAGAGATGGTCTGAGGTATAGGTAGGATTGCACAGGTTATATGCAAATATACCACCGTTTGATATAAGGGACTTGAGCATCCCTGGATTCTCATATACAAGGGGGTCATGGAACCAGTTCTCCACGGATACTAAAAGACAACCATAATTTAAAAGCTCGCATTTTTGCTTGAATGTGCAGGCACACTGTCAGGCATTACAATGCCCTGGACCCCTGCTGAATCCTCCAAGAGCCTTCAAGTTTAAGACAGGATCAGGGGAAGAAGCCAAGCACAATGTTCTCTGCTCAGTGGACTGGTAGGCTCTTCAGTTTAACAGTCTTTCTGTTGTGAACCAAAGAGTATGAGAGCCCCTTTCTGCCTGATGGTTGGAACTAATGTCAGACACAATGCAGCTTTCCAAGGCAATCCAGCATTTACTGGGATGTTTTATGCCTTCATGTTGAATCTTCTACTGCAGAATAATCTATTCACCAAATTGAGCAGTATTGCCCTACAATGTACAATTGTTAAGTTTGGGAGTTTAACATAATTACTCACTCCTTAGGGACTGAAGAACAAAGACTTTTCTGTACCAGAACAAATGAATCTTATCACAATTACACTATGTGGGTAAGTATCTGGTATGGCTTAAAAAAAAAAAAAATACTGAACAACCAGCCACCAAGAAATATTCAGCAACCATCCTTCCCCAAGACTCCACTTTACAATTACTCTGGATTATGCAAAAACTTAATACAATATTCCATTTTTGTGCAATCTGCTCTGGAGAGGCAGGGGAGGAAAGCAAGACAAATTTGTCTTGCTTTTATTCTGCCTGAATGACACTGGTCCACGGCAGAATTTGAAATTCAGATTTTTCAGTATTTCCTTAACGATGCAAGACTACGGCTGATTCCCATGTGTTCTCGGTTTCATTTTGGCTCATTAGAGCCTGTCTAGCTTAGAGAGAAGACCACAAAAAGTCTAATTACAAAGGTTCTCCTCATCCCACCCTTCCCCCTGTGCCATATAGATTCTAAGGATAAACCAATACAGCTGACTGCCAAGGAGAAGCCCACAGCCAGGTCATCTAGGGAGCTATCTTGCAGGTTCAGGTCACAGCTTCAGGAAACAAGGGCAACATAATTACCAAAGAAACAAGAAGTTCATGAGATAACACACCACTGCCATACGTGTGGCCGTCTCCATCAGCAAACTCTGTGGGTCTGTCACCCAGAGAAGTCTGCCCAAGATTGCTCAGGTCCTCCTTGGAATCTCCAGGGTGAACTGCCCTCCCTAAGCAAGAAAAGAGGATAAACAAATGGGGGCTGGTTCCAAGGGGCTGTGCAATTTAACACCTGGGGGATCCTTCCAAATGTACAGATGGCCCTAACCTCATTCATCTTCTTGACCTTCACATTAACCCTTGCTACACTGCTCTCCAGAGGATGAGAAGAGCTGCCAGGTGCCAGCAGACATAAAGTGGTGGTACTACTCAAGCATTTCTGAGCTAGACTTGAGATCTGTTCTTCAACAAGAACAATTCAGGCATTCAATGGAGTCAAGTTTCCAGTCCCTTCTCTGCCTCCGGATGAGGTTACTCAAGAAAGGCCATACCACCATGTTAATTGAGCCTCACCCCCAATCCCCACCAAAAAGAGATGACTGTCGTGTCCTACTGTGTGCCTCCCCACTGAACACCCCCAAATCCATGGGGGTTCAGATTCCTAGGGAAAAATGCATGTTTGCCTTCAATCTGAAAATATATATGCAACACACATATATATATAGACATTCAGCTGGCTTTACCAGCTAAAATATAAACACATTATTTAATTGTTATCAATACGAGTACATTTTTAAGTTTCTTTAGAGAACTATAAAATTAGCAAAATTTGGTTTGGCAAAATTTAACTCTAAGCACTTTAAAATATCAGCACACTTTAGTTCTCTCTGATAAATCAAGTTTTTATATCATACAGCAGTAGTTGTTCATGTACTTTATTAGCTTAGAAATGAGTTCAGAAGACTTCTCAGTCTAATTCACTACTGTATCCCTGTAACCTAGGAAAGTGCCCAGTATATATAGATGTCTCATTACCAGATATTAAATAAATTGGTGAATGGATATGTGAATGAGTGAGGGAGGGACTGAAATGAATAATCCTTTACCAATTTTTCAACTTCCCTGAGGTTATTATGTGTTATGGACTACAACATGCTAATAAAATATTAACTTGAATTTTATTCCTAAACAATTAAGGTTCAGTGGATTTTTTTTTAAGGGAATGCACTTATTTAGGAGCACAAGTACAAATAACTCAGAACCAACCACAGAAACAAGTCAAGGAGGCACTTATTTCCATCCAGGGCTGCAGTAGATGACAATGGCCATGAGATGGAGCCACACAACCTGTCAAAGAGCAGCAGACTCATGATTTTGCCCTCCACACTGTCCAGCAGAGCATATCACAGGAAATGACCATTGCTGCTGTACTGTACAACAAGCTGAAGCAAGTTTAGAACTGAAGCTTGGGTCCGGGGATGTGACTCAGCGGTAGGGATCTCGCCTAGCATGCACAAGGCCCTGGGTTTGATCCTCAGCACCACAAAAATTGAAAAAGAATAATAAAATGAAATGAAAAAGCTAGACAGAGAAAGAATTGCAGTTTGCTGGACATCAGACTTTAGAAAAGTAAGCCTGCTTCCCCATCTCAAATTGTTCACATCTCTTTTCACACAGTTCCTCTTCTTAAAAATAAAAAATAAAAAATTAAGTGTAAGCAAAGTATTTTCCCTATGAATAACAATGAATCCATGAAGTTTTCCTGGAGAAACAAAGCAATATTGTGAATCTACAGAAGGAGAAAGAAGAACTAAATTCTTAAAGCAGCGTGCAATTAGTTCCTGCCTCCAGCAACATTTTTGCAAAAGAACATTTCACTGTTGATGTATTCGATTTCATTCCCTCCAGTAAAGAAACTTAAGGCATGTGCAGACTGACTGGGAAATCACATCAGATGGAATTATGATCCTATTGGTCAAGTTTCAAAGGCTTCACATGTAACTGAAGTGTAGGAAGAAAGAAATTTCCCACAAACTCAAAAGGTCTGAAAAATCTGTAAATATTTTGAGGGCCATTATAAGCCACAGATGTTATCAACAGCCAGGATTGTGCAAACTTTAAAAAGACCTCGTCCGCAAATGAGGCTGCTTCGAAAATAGATTTTAAAACATTTGCAAGGAGCCCAAGTGAATTTCCCTTTGAAATGTTGTAAATGGTTCATGCTTTATTTAGAGTAAGAAGCAATCGGCTCCACTGGGCTTCTTGCTTATGATGCTATTTCTACCGCACATGAAATTGTAGGAAACCTCCAATTAACAGTCAGAAATTAAGGGACAAGAGAGAGAACTTGAAAAACAAGTGAAGAAAGAATCACTAATTAAAGACAAAATCTGGGTGGCCTGGTGTGATGGCCAGGGAAGAGAAGCTTCTGGAATGTGCCTTGTGTGGCGACCGGTGGGAAATTCTAGTCGGCTAACACTTGCTGATTTCCATGAAGGGAGAAGCAGATTAGAAACTGAGCAAGTGCAGAGCATCTGTGCGGATCCATGATTGCATTTGCAGCCCCACTCACCAACTCGGAAAAAACCTGGGATGTCAGCACTAGCTGACATAATGGTTACAAGATGAAGCTGGTTGGCAGAAAACCTTCCTGAGTGAATTAAAATCCTGACTCTGGGCCCTGGGGGAGACAAGAGAGTGTGGGTGAAATTGGGAACTAGCCATGCTTTACCCAGGGAGTGAAAAGACCCTAACTTCGAGTCATTTTTTAAATTATAGAGTTTTAGTGATCTAATTATATCCTAATTATAATGATGACCCTTCCTTCCTTCAAGGGACTCGAGCATGCTTCTGAAATATTCTGTGTAAGTCCTATCATTTGCTGTTTGAAAGTAGATGTTGGTGAATCTCAGAGTGAATTAAAGTGACAGATCTGGCATCTGACTCCCAGATCAGCTTCCTCTGACCAGACCACACCGACTCCCAGCTCTTGAAATAACCCCCAGTGGAATTCTCCAGGAGGAAGCCATCTCCCCAATTAGGCAAAAGTCGTCCTCCTCCTCCCTTACCCCCTCCGGCCTCTGTGGTTTCCACATTCCAACATGCAATCCATTTTCTTTTTCCATCCCAGCCAAGCAACTGCAACCTCCAAGCACAAAGGCCATGGTCTCATTTGTGAGGCTAGTCCATAAACTCACACGGCTGGTCAGCTCAGTGCCCAGGGATACAGACTGGCTTCCCTTCAATCCTAACTTGATGCCACAGGGCAAGTCACTTAACCGCCTCATTAGGATCACAGTCATGGCCCTGCCATGGCCTCCTTCCCTGGTACCTAGTCACCCCATTAATATCTGTAAAAATCCATTAAACCTTCCAGCTGAAAGGTGCCATAAAAGCTAAGCCTATTACTATTATCATCAATAAACTCCTAGGCACTCTTGCCTGTCACCACCTGAGGTAAATCAGTCACCCAGGTGGAGAGAAAACCAGGCACCTCAGGCCTATCAGCCCCCTAATGAGCCATCTGCAGCCATAGAAATGTCCAAAATTGACTCTGCCAGCAGTTCCCATTCCAGAAAGGAAGAGAGCCAATGCTTTAATTTGGGACAGTGAATTTAAACTGTTAGAATCCCCTGGTCTCTGAGGCACACACAGTCCCTGTGGCTTGGAGGGCTACTCCAACCCTGCCCTGGACCCTCACCTTGAGTGTGGGGCTGAGAGAGGACTGCAATGTGCAGTCCTTCCCCACTTGGGCGAAGGGGAAAGAACACTGTCAGAAAGCAGCTTGGAATCCAGAGACAGTGGGCATTCCCTGCTGGCTATTTAAAAGACATCTCACCTCCTGCCTCCCTTGGGAACCGCCAGCAAGGCCCTGTCCTCTCTTGAAAACAGCCCTCCATTCAAACGCCAGACAAACTCACTGGGGCGCTGTCTTGAAAAACCCAGAACTGAAGACACCATGTGTGTCCATCAACAGGGAAGAAATAAAGACACATCAGTACGGCATCATACTATGCTGCTATTAAAAAGAATTAAACAGACAAAGCAACGATTTAAAGAGCACTGTATGGTATGGCCCTTGACACAGGTGTGTGCTCCCCTCAGAGGAGAGAGGGAAGGGAGACGTGCTGCTCCCAGCAAACCCCTGGGCATCTTCTGAATTTTCATCCATGCGCACACCTCACCTATTCAAAATAACGTTTACAACTGATCCTAAATTAGACAGAGGCAATGGATCTTCTGAGATGTTTCAGTGATCTATTGAAACTGTAAAAGGGAAGAGCCTCTCGACCTCAGAGATCCTAATTGTCAAGTTGGGGGAGATCTTTTTGAGCAAGATGGACGGAAATGTGCTTCATTCAGGAAGAAAGTGTAGAAAAAAGGATAAGATGCCACCAGCCAGGTCTCATTCCCTTCTTTGTCCTTCCTACAACCTCAACAGAAAAAAACACCTACAGGGGTCTGAATTAAACAGCGGAAGTTAATCTGCACTGATTATGGACACTAGGCATAACTAGGACTAAGGGCACCGTTCCTGTTCCACTCACCCTCTGGAAGTCTTGCCTGCTGCTGAACCTTGAGCCAGATGTTGACACGCTGACCCCGGACCCCCAGGGCCTCCACCTCCCACAGGCGGCCTCGCTCCTCTGGATGGGCCAACAGGAACTGCCTACAGACTGAGAGAGAGGAGCACGAGCATAAGTCAGAGGACCCTCGCCCAACCCTGGTTCACTCCGGGCCAGCTCTCCCGTGTCTGCAGACTCAGGCAGCTTCCAATTCCTCCTGCAGCAACCCCAGCTCGCTGCTCTGATCCCCGCTACCCTCAAACCACTCTCTCAGCAACCTCTCATGGACACAGAATTCTCACCTGCTCATGGGGGCTCCCATTCTGTACTGGTTTTCTAGGGCGGCTCTAATAAAATACAGTTGTCCCGTGGCAACCAAAGGAGATTGGTTCGCAGGAGCCACTGAAGACACAAAATCCAAAGTCCATACAGTTGCATTAAATAGTATGGTCTTTTCATGTAACTATGCACATCTTCCTATAGACTTTAAATCATCTCTAGATGATCTTTAGTACCTAATGCATGTAAATGCTATATAAATAGTTGTTACAGTTGTTACAATCCATGATTGATTGAATCTGCAAATTTGGAACTTGCAGATATGAAGGGCTGACTATACCACAGAAATTCATATGACAGAAATTTATTTCTCACAGCTCTGGAAGCTGGGAAGTTCAAGACCCAGGTGTGACAGGTTTGGTTTCTCCTGAGTCTCTTCTCCTTGAGAATTGCTGTCTTCTCCCTGTGTTCTCACATGGCTGTTTCTATGTATAGAGATCCCTAGTGTCTCTCTCTGTTCTTAAAAGGACACCAGCCATATTGAATTACGGGCCTACCTGCAGAAGCTCATTTCACTTTAGGGACCTTTTAAAGTCCCTACATCTCCAAGTACAGTTACACCACAGGCTTCAACATTTGGAGGGACACTATTCAGTCCTTAATGCCATCCCACTTAGGGTTTTTGTTGTTGTTGTTGTTTTGTTTGTTTGTTTTTGTTTTTGGCTGAGGACTGAACTCAGGGACACTTAACCTCTGAGCCACATTCCAAGATATGGGATCTCACTAAGTTGCTGAGGTTGGCTTTGAACTCGCGACCCTCCTCCCTCAGCTTCCCAAGTCACTGGGACTACAGGAGTGCACCACCATGCCCAGCTCCATCCTTCCTCCTTGACCAGCCTCCTCTGCCTTCCTTCCTCTCCCATGGAAGCTTCCAAACTCATTGTCCACAGACTCCTGATTCCAGAGGCCCCTCAAGGCACACTGACTTGTGAGCCCATGTTCATAGGATGAGCATCTTCACATGATAGTGCCCCGACTCCAGGCAAATGATAAAATGCTTCTGGTTCCGAAGGTGTCCATGGGGACTTCAAGTCTGCTCCTAACCTTTGAATGGTCCAGGGCAAGAGTGCAGGTGGAAACATACAGAGCACAATGCTATTATAAAGGTGGAAATTGTGCCAGGAAAGTGGTAGATCTCACATGTTCTGCCCTCCTTGCTGACAAATATAACTTCCTAACAACTGAGAAAGCCAGTTTTAAATTTAGAATTCTTGGACACCTTGGAATTGTGCATCAGAATGTGGCAACACAGGAGAGCCAGCCTCCAGCCTCCAACCCACTGCCTACCCGGCCTCCTCCCACTCACCCCCACCCACACTCCATCCACATCCCACCAACAGCCATCCCTGGGGCCGACAGTTGTGCAGATGGGTGCCGTGGTTCACCAGCATGGGCACAGATCCAGGGATGGAGTCAGGCCCTCAGCAACACTGGCAGGAATTTGGGGGTTCTGATATTCTGAGTGGGTTTAGAGGGAGGGATATAGACAGGGGTGGGCACATCCCCTTGAGCCCATGGAGTCCTCAACCCATGGAGAGGGACACAGCAGAAAAAGGACTCAAAGCCTGGAGCTCGGAGCAAAAGTCCCTCTTGTCCAGCTGGAGGGCAAGACTGCACTCAGTAAAAGCCGGACAGCGGGGTGTGGGTGGCTGAAGCCCCTAGAGAAATGTGATTCAGAATCAGCCCTTTCAAGTGTTTGCTGATGGAGACACAGGAGGGGCAGTGGGGATCCATAGCACTGGCCCTTGCAACATGGGATCTTTGGCTTCTTTAGCAAGATAACCTGACATCCTGAGGTGGCCTGCACTGGAAAGACCTGCTTTCTCTGGAGACCCTTAGGGGGCCTGCACCAGGGCAGGGAAAGTCTCTCCAACAGAGGACTCAGAAGCAAGAATGAGGAGAAGAGATTGGCAGGGTGTGGATGTAGATGTAGGACCAGCTTCCTGGGCCCCAGAACTCCCCAGCACCGGAAAGTGAGCTGCACAGTGCTGGCATCCTTGAGCACTCTGCAGAAACTCAAGGCTCTCCAGAGTTTAATAATAATAGCCAAAGGGTCTGAAAAACACCAAGAAACAACTAAACCCACTTGAGGGAAAATCGTTTGTGCCTGCTTTCTTTGTGATTTCAGAGCAGGAGAAGTTTATTTGCCTTTCCAACTTTCCTGTCCATTGTTCTCTTCATACCAGAAGGACCCTGGAAACTCAATACTAAGGATTCAAAAACATCTGAATGACACAAAGTGAGGCAAGGCCAAATTGAGCTAGTGTCCTTTCACGAGGTGACAAGGGGACCTGAAGAGATCTCTCCAGACACCCACTCTTACTGACTCAGAGTGATGTCTAGCAATTGAGTTTCCTCTGGCAAATGCAAACAAAGAATAGAAACCACTTGGAAAGAGATGCAGTAGGGTGATCGTGGAGGAGGGAGAGGCCTTCTTTTGTGGTGAGGGTGTCAGGGATCTTGGAACTCACTGCATGTGCAGTGTCTTTCCATCATCTCCCGCCTGCCCACAGCTCCTGGACTCTCCCTGTGGCTTCTAGTTCAATGGACAAAGTGATGAACTATAAGCTTCAGTTGAATGAGCCGAGTTACTGGGAGGATCCCGGCAGCAGTTCCCTGGATTCCACTTCTCCCTGAGGTTGATGATTTGTTTCTGATTACAGATGGTCCTTGACTTACAATGAGGCTGCCTTCCCCAAACACATCAGAAGTTGATAATTTGAAAATGCATGTAATACTCCTAACTGACTGAACCTCACGGCACAGCCCAGGCTACCTTAAACGTGTTCTGAACACTTACCTCAGCCTACAGCTGGACGAGCTCATCGAACACAAAGCCTATTTTATAATGAAGTGTGGAATATCTTGTGCAATTTATTGAACATCTGTATCCAAAAACCACTGGCAACACAGCCTCCTGTAGACTCTTGACTATTTGCCCTAGCCATCACGTGGCTGACGGGGAACTGCGGCTCACTGCCTGTTCCCACCGTCTCAAGAGACGGTATGGGACCACATACTGCTAGCTCAGGAAACATTAGAAATTCAAAATTTGAAGTACACATTCTACTGAATGTGTATTGCTTTCACACCACTATAAAGTAAAGAAAAAAAAAATCCTAAGTCAAATCATCATGAGTCAGGGATCATCTGCATATTCAAATCCACTTCCCAGGTTGGGAAAGTTTTAATCCTAGAGATCAAAAATGAGGTCTCTGTGCTAAAACTGTGGAAGACTTCTCAGGAGGGAGGCAAAGCCAAGGCCTGCTGTGCCCCAGAGGGCTCCATCTGCTCAGAACCACCTAGAATGCACACGTGTTATTCACCACTGTTACCCAAATCCCATCACACACCATGCAGTGGGCTGACCTCCGTACATGGCAGGAGAAATTGGGCAACTGAGCCCCAGGGCATCATCTTCTGGGAAAGTATCACAGAAGTCCTGCAGCATGGCTGTCCCTAGACCTTGGCGACGATGTTTCCTCCTGACAAACACAGTATCGAAGACAGGCAGCAGATAACATGCACCAGTGCCATTGCCACACAGGCTGCCTGCAGGGGAAGCAGGAGACACACATTGTTTCCTGGGCTGGATGCTGCTCCACCAGGACCCTGTGGGACCCTCGCACAGCCAGCGTCATTGATATCACCTGGAAGCAGAGTTAGTTTCACAAGCTAAACAACTGGCGCTAAAACAGCAGACGATTCCAAACCACCAGACTCTAGTTGACCCCTATTATTAATTGCTACAAGGGCAGTCCCTGGACCACTGCACTGAAGTGAAAAGCAAACCTGGGAGACTGAGCGGAGCAGGTGGCTCATGTACCCAGACTCTTCAGATCTCTCCCTTCACCGAGACCTTCAGAGCCAATGACAATTATCTGAAAAACATCAAAGCCCTCTTTGGAAAAATGAAACCTGAAGCCAGAGGATGTGGGCTAGGAGATCATCCCAACCTATCTCCAGAGTATGGACAAAAAGGACTCACCATGTCCCTTTATAGCAAAATGCACGCACTTCCTATATCCACACCCCTCTGCATGTGATTTTGAAGTTCTTCTCCTCAAGAGATGGGGTCTGTTTCCCTCCCTGCTATAGTCTAGGCTGGCAACAGGGAGAGATCTGAAGAGTCTGAGCAACAGAATAAGGCCAAGTAACAATACACCAATTCTGAGCCTGTCCCTCAGGCATTCGGTGTCTGTCTACCACCCACCACAAAAATAAGCCCAGGCCAGAGCTGGGGTTGTGGCTTAGTGGCAGAGTGCTTGCCTAGCACATGTAAGGCACTGTGTTTGATCTTAGCACCACATAAAAATAAATTTAAAAAAATAAAGGCATTCTGTGAGATGGACATCATTATCCCAGGTACTTCTATGACTGCACATATGGCGTGACGCTACCTCTTGTACAACCAGAGAAATGTAAAGTTGTGCTGGAATAATGAATCAAAATACATTTTGCTGTCATGTATAATACCTAATTTTTAAATTTTTTTTAGTTTTGTTATATGAAAATAAATAAAATTTTTAAAATAAAATAAAGGCATTCTGTCCATCTGCAACTACAAAAAAAAAAAAAATTTAAATAAACCCAGGCCAGCTTGATAACATGACAAAAACATGGCTCGGGCATCTTGGTGGTCCCAGCCAACCTCAAGCCAGTTCCAAGAACAAAGCCACCTACCTGGCAGGTAGTTACCATGAACACATAGCAAGTCCAGCCAAGACCAGAAAACCACCCGCTGAGCCCAGCCCAGAATATCAACCCAAGGAATTGTTAGTTAAATAAACATTTATGTCAAAAATGAATGAGTAGAGCGACCAGCTTCTCAGGAGTTTTAGATGGGAGGATTGAGAGAGAGTCCAAGGCCAGCCTGGGCAGCGTAGTAAGAACCTGTCTCCTGCAGATGCAGCTCAATAGTGGAGCACTTGCCTAGTATGTGCGAGGCCTGGGTTCAACCTCTAGTACTGGAAAATGGAAGAAAGAAGGAAGGGAGGGAGGAAAGGGGAAGCGGAAAGGAGAGGACATAATCTATGTCTAACAAGGAACCTCAACTCACTTGAGACTGTAATTGTAAAATATTTGTAATTTCAGCCTCAACATGCTTGAGAAGATAGTATCAACTTGTTTGAAGTTCTATGACTTCAATTGACAAAAAAATGAGAACAATGTCCCCTAATGTTAAGTTTCCAAAGCTGAGAAAGTGTAAATTTATATAAAGAGGCGAGCATTAAAACACAGTAAATACTTCGGAGTATATTTAACAAAACAAGTACAAGCCTTGAGCAGTAAAAAGTACAAGTTATCTGAGGGAAACAAAAGAGCTAAATGAGAGAAATTCCATGTTCACTGATCAAATTACCCAATTCTGTTCCCATGACAATTCTTCCCAAACTGATCTATAATGCTAGCCCATCAAAATACCAGCAGGCTTTTTGGTGAAAATTAACAAGCTGATACTAAGTTTTACATGAAATGCAGTCTCTTGGAATAATCAAAATAACTTTGAGAAAGAGCAAAGTCAGAATCTTTCCACTACCCAATTTCAAGCCTTTGTCAAATATTGAATTGAGTATTGAGTAGTGGCTCAAAAGCAGATCAGTGGAACAGACCTGAAGTCCAGAAATAAACTCCTATGCTTCAATTTTCACAAAGGGGAAAGGACAGTCTTCCAACAAATGAGGCGAGATGATTGGACATTCATCCACAGGAAGAAAATGAATGTAGACACAGACTCTTCACAAAAAAAAAAAAATTAACTCAGATTGGATCATAGAACTAAATGTGAAAGCAAAACTATAAAAACTCCTAGAAGATAACATTGGAGACAACTGAGGATGACCTTGGGCATGGCAATGACTTTTTAGATACAACATTAAAGGCAAGATCCATGAAAGAAAAAGTTGACACAGTGGACTTCAGGATACAGGATGTCTGTGAACAGAGGAGTGAATAATGGTTTTAGTGTGGAATTAAGTGATGATTGGAAAAAGATTCTCTTCCCAGACTGTGGCTCTTCTTTCATTGCTGTGACTTTTATAACAGCCTACAGAATGACAGCACATCTCTGCAAACTCTCACTTCAGGAGGAAGGGATTTTTTGTTGAAATAAAAGAGTGTTTTGCAAGAAAAAAAAGAAGAAGAAATAGAATGTCTGCTTGTGAAAGGCGTCATCACAAGAATGAGAAAACAAGCCACAGCGTGGGAGAGATCACATGAAAATGGCACATCTGATGAAGAACTGTTACCTAAGCCAGGCTTGGGGGACACACTTGTAATCCCACAGACTTGGGAGGCTGGGGCAGGAGGATCCCAAATTCAAGATCAGCTCTCAGTAACTTAGCCAAGATCCTAAGCAACTTAGAGAGACCCTGTCTTAAAATAAAACATAAAAAGGGTTGGGAATGTTTCTCAGTGGTTAAGAACCCCTGGGTTCAATACCTGGTACCAAAAAAAAAAAGTATTAGGTAGTTTTTTAAATGAAGTTGAACCCTCACCTCACGTCATACACAAAAATTAATTCAAAATGGAGTATAGACATAAATGCAAGAGCTAAAACTGTTAGTGCTTTTAGGGAAAAGCAAATACCATTTGTGATAAAAGGCTATAGCCAGAATAAAAGACTCTTACAATTCAATAAGAAAACAAATAACCTCATTAAAAATGGACAGAAGATTTGGACAGACATTTCTTCAAAGATGACATTCACATGGCCAATTGTCAATGAAAAGCTATTCAATACCACTCGTCATTAGGGAAATGCAAGTTAAAACAGCAATGAGATGCCACTTTGAGCCTCCCAGAATGGCTAGAATCAAAAAGACAAGCAATAATAAGTGTTGACAAGGACATGCAGGAAACTGGAAACCTCAGATATTGCTGATGGAAGTTCACAGTGGTGCAGCCGGTTTGTGCAATCACTTGGCAGTTCCTGAAAAAGTTAAACATAAGCTTACCAATTAATGGAGCAAGTCTACTCCAGGGAACCTAACTAAAAGAAATGAAAACACATTTCCACACAGATGTGTAGGTGAATATTTATAGCCACATTATTCATAATATTCCCAAACTGGAAACAATCCATCTGCTGATAGATCCATAAGCAAAATACAGTATAGTCACACAGTGAAATATTACTCAGCAATAAAAAGGGATGAAGTACTAACAAATGCTACAATTTACATGGACCTGGAAAACACTAAGCTAAGTGAAAGAATCCAAATGCCAAAGACAATATATCATATCATTGCATTTAGGTGAAATGTATAGGAAAGGCTAATTGGTAGGGGAAAAAGGCAGATCAGCGGCTGCCTAAGGCTGCAACGGAAACAGACTAACACCACAGAACACTTAGCAGGATAACAGAAATATCCTAAGACAGGACTTTGGTGATGGTTACACAACTATCTATATTTGCTAAAAAAATAAAATAAAATAATTGAATTATACACTTGTGATTGGTAAGTTTTACAGGATAGAAAATTTTACTTTGATAAAATGGATATTAAAAAGTCACAAAGAGAACATGCACAGTAGGGTGACTAGAGTTTATAACAATTTATTGTGTATTTTATAAAGAAAAGAGTGAAGTTTAAAGGTTCCCAACACAAAGAAACGATAAATGTTTAAAGAGATGGAAATGCTAATTACCTTGATCTGATCATTACACATTTTGTATACATGTTATCAAATATCATACATACCCCATAAGTATGCATCATTATTATTATGTGTTCATTTTTAAAGCTATATTGAATTAATATCTTCAAAATATTTTAACAGATCAAGTATAAAAAGGGAGAAAGAGTAATTTTACAGTGGAGAAACTCACAGGACTCCCACCTTAATTGAGGGACCAAGGTTATCACTACCCTTAATGAGATGTCACGCACCCTGCCCTCTGATATATAAGAATATATCTGTGCTCTCCTGTTCCCCAAGCCTATAACTCCAGTCTAATCATGAGAAAACATCAGACAAACATAAATTAAGGGACATTCTAAAATCACCTGACCAGTACTCTTCAAATGTATTCAAATGACGAAAAAACAAGAAATGGTCACAGACTGGAAGAGGAGACCCAGGTGACCTGAAGAGCAAATGCCTCGCACTGTTCGGGATCATGGACCAGAAGAGAAGGAGGATATGAGAAGGAAATTAACTGATGCTATTTTTTTTTTGTTTGTTTGTTTGGGACATTGTACCACAGCTACGTGAGATGTGGATATTAGGGAAGATGGGTGAAGGGCACACAGAGCCTTTCTGAACTTTCTTCATAACTCTTCTATATATCTAAAATCCCTTCAACATGAACAGCCAGAATAGGTTTTATGGATTCATGTATTTTATTGGACCAAATCTATAAAATCTATAAAACTCAACCCCGTTTCTAGAGACTCATAAAAATTAGAAAAAGTCTATAAAATTAGATATCATTTCTCAGCCATCAGAACCGTAACCACAGAGACCTTGGACAACACCAAGTGCTGGCCAAGATGTGATGCAAGAAAGCCTCCAGCCTTGGACGGGTGGAAATGTGAGTGGGCACAACC